ATACTTTTTTTTGTGAAAGGCGAGTGCGCTATCCACTGCGCAATCCAACCACGCATCCTAGTAATTAAGTTACATATCAAATAACACAGCAGGATGAAATTTCCAGTGCAACACAGGACGGAGCACAGACGCAGCCCTACGGCGCTTGTAAGCTTCAAATGTAGTACAAGAACGACAACTCTGACAAAATATAGATTTAATATCCACGGTATATATTTATATATATCGTATAAAAAATAATAAACCCGGAAATTGCTTTAGAAGAAATGTGATCAATACTTTCAAGGTTTATATTGCAATAACAAATGAAGCATAGCTAAACATTGCATATTTGCGCCGTTTTTAATGATGCCTCCATGATGTCATTGCTATCTCGGCAGTGTCACTACACCCACGGTGATAGAATGGCTCTCGTTCTACTCACCTGATGTCCTACATCCCCTACCCGGTACACAAAGGTATGGGACAAATGATCTTATCAAAGCAAATGTAAACAGGATCATGTCTCTTAATTCAACGTTTAAGTTTTAAGGTATTCGTCCTGGTGTTACACGCTTTAATGACAAAGAATATTTTTAGTACGTTACGTCGTCGCTTTAATATACATCAATTAATTTATTGCCATGGAAACAATTGAGGAAAACATGAAAATCTCGTTCTGTATGATTTGCTTCATTATCGCTGTTTTTTTTATAAAAAAAGTTTTTTAGCGAGTTGGCACAGTCAAATTGAATTTACTACTGTATACCTGGAAACTCGCCCACCACATGTATACTCCCTATTTGTCAGGTGTTATCGTCACACTTCTTATGTAATAGCCGTGTTTGTAAGTTGTGAAATGCATGTTATATTGGCCGACGTGAAACATTCGCCCAGAATCGAGGCGCAAAAAGTGTGGCGACAACTTCCCGGTATAGAGTATATCATTGTTTTCAAATGCCATTCAGGTTTTAAGGGACGTATCTATACAATTTCATCTTTTAGTTCAATCGTTTGCAACCCATTCTGGTGTATGTTAGACGCTTGCGTTACGCTTGGGTTAACTATACAGACTGTATTTACAGATACTAACTATCTGATCCCAGCGATCGGTTGGTCTGGTGGCGAAGTGGATTTCGCACTACCAACCTCTGAGGCCCTATGTATGGGATAATAAAAGTTATAATTTTAAAGAAAAGAGCACGCACTCGCCTTTCACCAAGGCGGCCGGAGTTCGATTCCCCGATCGGACGTGAAAAGGTATAGGGTCACCTGCCCGACCACGTGGGTTTTTCTGGGTACTCCAGTTTCCTCCAACATTAAGCCCCCAGCACGCTATCATCCGGGCCAACACGATTGATTAATATAAGATATATCACTTGTTTCTTAATTATTACAAAATAAATAAAATTTATAAAGATTCTAGCGATGTAAGACTTGTAGTGGAACACGCTAATGGCCGTAATACGGTTTAATAGCACCATCACATGCATAGCCGTTATATGACATGTTTAATATCACCTACTGGAACGTCATAAATCACAGAGGTGACAAAAAGGGTGGTTTTTCCCTGCTAAGTTTTCTTTTAAAACATTATTGTTACTGTTCACAAAGCATATTTCACAAGTTTCATTTAATATTCAAGTTATGTGTTCTTTTTAAACTTCCTGAAGCTAGTTTAATAAAAAAATAAAAATGGAATTATGTTTGGTGTGACATCCTCTATTTGGATTTATACAAGCATCGCACTATTTATAAACTAGAAGTGTGCAAAGTGTGTAAACGTATACAGGGGCGGATCCAGGATTTCCTAAAAGGGGGGGCCGAGAATTTTTTCTCAATAGTCAACGGTGTGTTGCGAAAGAAAGCAGCCCGAGCGCGTAGCGCGAGGAGGGGGAGGGTACAGACCCCCTCCCCGTAAGGAGGGTTTGGGGGATCTCCCCCCAAAAAAATGTGTTTTCTAGAACGTCTCAGAAGCGATTTCCCGTGTTCTGAGGATTGTTTTTATGTTTAATTAGCAANGGGGCCCCCCCCCCCCCCCCCCTAAATCCGCGCCTGGTATACTAGGACCAGAATGATGTTCAGCTTAAACGTAGATGAGTAAGCTATAGAAATATACTACAGTAGTATGTATATACAAGAATAAAACCGGTACACAATTGTTTACAACCGACAACAGCAGGGATTGAGTAGACATGAATGCAAAAGGAATGACACCACACATAAAGGATGTTAACATGCGATTCACTGTCAAAATATGTTGTCTAACTCCTAACTCTGTCCTATTCAATATGATTGTTATATACAAATATTAACACGAAAGATGAATATGGTCTTGAATAAATATATCTCTACTTCAAACGTTATCTTCCTATACACTCTGAACATCATTTGACCAATTACCTAGCATTCAGACACACCATGTCAATTACCTAGCATTCACACACACCATGTCAATTCCCTAGCATTCAGACACACCGTGTCAATTACCTAGCATTCAAGACATACCATGTCAATTACCTAGCATTCAGACACACCATGTCAATTACTCAATTGATCGTTGTGAATTTCATTAAATGGGAAGGTATTATGATGTGGGAGATTTCTTGTTTCTGTCTCCGCCGGCTGGCTGTGTGTACGTCTTTAACCATGGCTGTCATTTGTAAAGAGGAAACCCTGCTACATTTCTTTTTTTAAGTTTTGTTCGCTAAATTATAATCTAAAGGACATTGGTCAAGACATGAGTAGGACAACTTTATATAACCCCCTCCTACCAACCTTCGACCAAGGTGTATTAAACAATAAATAAATTGACATATTTTCATCAGAACTTGAAAATACTGCATGAGAAATGAATATTATGAATGACAGTTAGGCCCTTTCTTATCCCAGTTATATAAAACATCTTTATCAATTCGATTTTCCGATCAGTGTTGTACAGATCAAAAGGTTTATTTTCTGTCTGAACCTTGGATTATTTGTCAATTTTATGTTGCATTCCAAGAAGATGATACTAATTGTTTAAGAATAAGAACCATACTGTATTGTATGCATAAATTAAATAAAAGTTAGCATTGACAACACGTCCAAAACTTAGCAATTAGACACTCAGTTGACCTTTGACCTTGGCATACAGGTCAGTTGTCATAGTACGGTATAGTGCGCACCGTCTGTATATGATGACAATACACCTATTACCTCGTTAGAGAATCTTCAATGGTTTAATTATCATGTCTTTGACAAAATATTCCTGACCACTTATTTGACCTTTGGACTCGTGTTGAATATGACAGCCACCAAACTAGACATGGTGTGTACATTGTCTGATTTCATGGAGATACTGTATGAAGCGGTTTTGCATTTGTATAAGTAAAACATGCCCTTGCTAACAGACCAGTCACAGTATTGATTAACAAGTTTATTACGTCAGTCAACGTTCGTTTGTTTGTATACAAAATAATATAAGCTACTCGTACATGAACACTAGAGTATACCATACACAACCAAACCAAGGACACATTTCTTGACGGTAGAAGACACAGAATATCCTTTATCAACATCTACGGTACTATATGTCTGACTTCATTCCAAAAGAAGAACTAATTACAACATTATTATGACATATCATTCCAATGAAAAATACACATCGTTCTCCTAAATGTATTGTTAATAAGACATTTCGAAATTGATTTTCGAATTCAGTAGGTTAATCTTTTTATCACCTTTTCAGAATATTCAATAAGATTATTTTGTTTAAACGATAACATTGACTTCACGAAAGACATATACAACACGTGATAATAATTAAGCGGTACGAACACAATGTTTTCAATTGTTTTATTTAAACTATTTTTAATATTTGCATATGTATTTGTATAAGTAAAACATGCCCTTGTTAACAGATCAGTCACAGTATTGATAAACAAGTTGATTACGTCAGTCAACGTTCGTTTGTTTGTATACAAAATAATATAAGCTACTCGTACATGAACACTAGAGTATACCATACACAACCAAACCTACTTTCTACCACAATAGTACCTGTTGTGTACATCACCCAACCACCTATAGGATGAAAGGGGTGCTGGTTAAACATACGTGTTAATCGACCAGTTGTTATTACACATGGACACATTTCACAAAGTAGTCTCACATTCTCTACATATCTCGCTCACCTTCCGCATTCCGTGCCTACCAAAATACTGTACATTAAAATATTGTATCCACTCTCGAACATAAAAATATATCTGAACATGTTTTATCACTAAAACATGTCCTAATGAACATAATTGCCCCCGACAGAGGCAAAATAAGTGATTTGTTTCTGCCTATACATATTATTATACTTTTTCATTTGATTTTACAGTAACGTGTCCTCCGTTTTTGATGCTACAACTCGTATTACGCTTACGAATGCCGGACGTTTAGGTGGGACTATCACTGGTTCGATGTTAGCCTGTAATTTTGGTTCTTCTACTTCCATTTCTAATTCGGGTTTAAGATTTGTGAAAGGAATATTAATGTTCGTGTCGTCGTCGTCATCATCATCATCGAATTCTGAATCATTGATAGACATGTCTTGCTGTGAACCGTTCTCATCGTTTGGTTTTTGAGGAATAGAATGAACGGAGGGAGTGTTTGCTGTCGGATCATCATGTGATGCTGTAATGTAGAAACTGTTTCTTAATAGTGGAGGATCGTTGGATACAGTTGCCACACATGGGGTAGGTGGTCGTTCGTCTTCCGTATATTTCACTACCGGAGGCATTGTACTAACAGCTTCTTCATGGTTGTAAACAGGATTTAAAATGCCCGTCAAAGCAGCTGATTCAATTGGCTGTTCATTCTCATCAGGGTGTCGGTTTGATTGTGTTTCTGGAGCGGCGAATGAAGTCGTGCCTTTGTACGGGTAGTTGGATGGTTGTCTTTCCATATTGTTTTGAATTGCAGTATTTCCATTGTGGTATTTTATAGACGCCTCTTCATTGAAATAATTGCGCCCTTTTTCAACCCTGGTGGTAGTCTCCGGTTCTTTCACTTTCTTTCGCCTAAACAAATCAAAGGTAACAAATTTTGCTTTATAGATATTCATAGCAGAAATAGCATATTGATGTTTCCTATATTGTAAGGATAATGTCCTTGGTTCTTATATTTCAATGCTAAGCTGAAATTCATTAGATGCTTCTGTATTATTGGGTTGATAAAGTATTGTATTCATCAGTAAACAAACTTCCAGACTTTGAAACATGATGTCATTATATTAGTAAAATGGAAATAAAAAATACATAAATAAATTTGATTATATGCATATTCTATTTTCATTAATGAAAAATAATCCAATCACACGAGAGGGGGACCTCTCCGTATAAACAAGTATATTGAAAAGATACCATCTTGGTCGAGACGTCACATAGGGGAGGACCTACTGTGTACTTAATGTTTAAATATCTTTGTAATTAGCAATATTTGATAACAAAAAGTAATTAGAGCTTACCTTTTGCTACAAACAGCAACAACGATGAGTATGATGATTAAAACGCCAACGACTATCCCCGCAATCAATCCTGTCACAGAAAAGATGATGGCATTAACTATCCACATATGTATAGTTATGCATTGTCCTGGTTGCTCAAAGTTAACGATAACGTTTGTTTAGGGCTTGATGTCTTCGTGACAAGTCAGATCGTGTGACGACATTGCCACTGGTGATACATCTTCTATCTAATTTCAGAATATGTTATTGTATAGATCTTAAATACAGAAGGAATTGGGCAACAGGCAAAGCCTATAAAGGCCCTCTCCTAGTGTAGGAACATTGATCTACTATAAACCCATTCTCCATATTTTGCCATCGTTTACCTTTAGTGTGATTTAAATCAATTCATATACCTGTTCGATCGTCATCTGATAGCCCTTCATCCTTCATAGCTCCAACATTTCCAGGTGAGACCGGGGTTGTAGTGGCGGACGTGGTTGAGGTAGGGGGTGTGGTCGTAGTAGGGGGCGTGGTTGTAGTAGTGGGCGTTGTTGTAGTAGGGGGCGTTGTTGTGGTGGGGGATTTAGTGGTAGTTGTTGTAGGAGGTGGTGTTGTGGAAGTCGTTGTAGTGGAAGTTGTCGTTCGGACCAAGCAATCATTCTGATGACCCTGATCGGTGTCTGAAAATATCGCGTGCAAACCAACTTCACTTTCTTACGTCATCATTTTCGTTATCAAGCAAGTTCTGCCAGCATATTCATTACGGCTTCATAATAAAACAAGGATCAGATTCCCTTCTTGTCTGGGAGGGAAGGACAAAATGCAGGTTTAAGTTAGGACTGTTCTCAATGTATTGTTCAGGTGACTTAAGTTAATGATTTGACCACATATCAAGACAACATTTTAACATATATAAATACATTATTTGTATAGTATTTCGCCTTTCTGTGAACAAAAAGAGGATAAATATAAGGATTATATGGCGTATATAGCTCAGTAAGTGTTGAAACATCTATTTATCACATGAACTACTTATATACGCTACAAGATCTGTTCAGGTATAAATATACAATAATCCTTAGGAGAAATTAATTCAATAACTGGTTTATATGAACCAAAGTCATTTAAAGTTTCATTGAAGATTTTAAAATATGTTTGTTCCAAAATATAAGAACACCAGTAAAACATGAGTTAGCTATAAAACCAATAAGAAAACGTCTTGCAGTTACAAAACAGCGTCGAATGGATATTACCAAAAGAGCAGAGAGATCCTTTGGACTGGGAACAAGATGGAGTTGATAAAAGCTTGACGTCATCATCAATAACGGAGAAATATTGGCACTCTCTAATTCTCGATACATCCGACTCGCCTACACCTGCAAAAGTTAAACAAAAACCATCATTAGTCTTGAAGCAAACAGGAACAGAAATTGTATATTAAAACAGTGTATTCGTATATAGCATCCCTTGTGTAATTTACGATAAAATGTAAGCGTGTACTACTGATCATATTTACAGTTCCAGGCTTGTGACGGAGTAAATAAGATCGTACTAAGTAACACCTATTTCAGGTTGCAGATGTACTAGAAATACATTTAAAACACACACATCTATTTGAAGTATTTCAATCATACTTTCCTTGCAAATTCTCATCTGCATTTTCTTTGCAGATATGCAAAGTCTCCTATGAATAGCAACTGATGGCAATTCTCATGTGAAAAGCAAACGATGAAATTTCTCGTATCGAAAGCAAGTGATGCAAACTCTATAAAAAGCAAACGTGGTAAATTTCCTATAATAGACAAACAATGCACATTCTTATATAAAAAAGCAAACGATGCAAGTTCTCCTAATCAATTTTTCCTAAAAAAGAAAACGATGCAAGTTTAGGTTTCCGATGAAAAGCAGCCCATGGAAAGCAAACTTTTTTTTTGTTTTTCATGGTGTCCTGAATATGTTCAATGACACAGATAAACTCTGGATAAAAAAACCACTTCTCTTTCATCAAGAAAAAAGTATAAAATATGAAGTACAATGCTTACTTGTTGTGTCGGCGTATAGTGTGGTTCTGTCGCGGTGTAGATGTCCCCAGTACGGTTTTTTCACGGCAACGCCAGATGCCGAGCACCAACTCTCAATATTTGGGCCAGACATATAGCTACCTTTATTGATACAGGCTTGTCTGCTGTCAACCCAGGCCAAGTTATCGTCGGTAAAGTTTCCATCTGCGTCAACAATGATTTGATCAGAATATTGGTGATGAAATACGGCTAAATGAATAACATGGAAACCTGCATACTGTAATTTTCTTTGATAAGATTTCTTTTGTTAAGATCATTTACAAAAACATATTTTCTCAAAGCGTATCTGCGAAGAACTGGATGATTTACGTATTAAAATGTGTTTAAAGATATTGACAAGATATTAAAATCCGCAACTGGCACACTTCGAGTATTTAATAGTTATCTCACGTGTGCAACTCTAAACGCCAAATTAGTTTTAAAGAATTCAGAACTATTACTACAGAGTATTATATTTCTCAGTAGAGGCCCTACACGTAACCAATACATTATCAATTACTTCCAAAACTAAAACTATTTTATTTCTTTATAAACAGACACTGTTGTTAATCACCGAGCCTATATCGAAGACGTTAACATTGAGATTTGTGCTATTCATTGCTATAACGCTGTTTGGCTATCCAAGTTATTCTTTTTGAACTGAAATTTAATTTATCTCCTTGAAGTGATGGCTACTTGATCATTAGGGAACTATTCGTATGTATTTACCACTGCAGGACGCCTGGAGCTCGCTGGAGCATTTCCTGGAGAAGTAGGACCATGAAGTGTTTTCCGGGGTAACAGGATCTGCCTCGCACTGGAACACGCCACAATCACATGTCTCGTTCTTGCCCAACTCACAGAACCGGTCATCAAGGACATGTAGATCTGAAACAAAATCCCAAGCATCAAAATATTGGCACATGATGATCCAATTATTGTTTTTGTTTGTTTGTTGGGTTACAATATCTTATTTCGGTTTATTTATTTTATAACAAGATATCTTGTTTTTCAGATTTCAATGTGTTTTCAGATTTGTCTATTAAAATCATTGGAAATTATTTCCTCAAAGTCCTTGGAATTTAGAATATGAAAAATGTATATTTACAGTAGTTTTCTATATGGTTCGTGAATAAATATCCGTCTATCAGTAGGAGCACAGTCCATCTTAAAACATTGTTGTCGTTTCAGTCAAATGACAGGCTTAAATTTGCATGCACATAGGCTAATTCCGCAAACGTATACTATTGCTAACGTCAAGAAATAGTGTCTAGTCTGCACAACAATTGAGGGGCGACGTCAAGGAAATGTAACTTGTTATATGGCTATGTGATGAAAAAAACTTTTTAGAACAGACAGTTATCAAGCATAAGCGAATTAATGTCGGATTTAAATAGTTAACAAAAATATAAAGGGATCATATTTTACGATTTATATAAAACAAAAGCATTGCTTATCAAAAAAGTGACAAGTGAATTGTCCAATGATGCTAAGTTCGTGTATAAGTCCCTCGTCTAATCTAATGTTCTATTTTTGGTAAAAGAAAGCATTTATTTCGGCAAGTCAAACGAAACTGATATCAACCAGGTCAACATGTGCTTACATTAGTTACGTTCGGTTGGTCGTGTTTCAGATTTTCAGGAATATCGATGTTTTTTCAGGGTTTTTTTAATGTCTTCTGAACATTTGACGCCGTATGAGAATATCCTTGTAAACCCTCTGGCAACATTCCAAATAATATTTTATTTCAAATGAAGATTTATCATTACGAGTTCTATGTTACGAGGTTTTTTATGATTCCTCCATCATATCAGGCGTTGGGTGATGATCTGTTAGAAATATGACATGCATTCAATTTAAGTTCATCGTTTGAGCAGCTATATCAACATTTCATTATTTATTTTTTTTATTTTGAGAAATTTGCAACGGAGTAAATGTTCATTACTCACACGGACGATATAGGGCTACGTAACCGGGTTGACCACAAGAATACTGGGATCCGCCAGGACACGGTAGACAACTCTGGGCAGCAGTGAAAGACAGGCTAAATGTGGAGTTAACACAAACACACTTTCCACCTTCCTGAAATATGACAGGTTAACATTGTCAATATGTTGTATTTGTAATTGTCTAAGTTTAAAAAAGCAGGTTAAGATTTGATATTGTATTGACATCTTTAACAAGAAATGATTTCATTTAAAATAATAATGTATCGAATTATAAAACGGCCATATACTAGATTTTTTTGCATGACATCTTCCACACTTTTGTCTGTATCGTATTCGTGTCAAGAAAATGCAGTAAAGGACAGTTATCTCTTAATCTTTCACACTTACCTGCAGTCCGAAATTATTTGATTGTTTACAAAGCTGGTAGCATTCATCATAATCCTTGACGTTCATAAATGATCTTCCCACTGATACTTGATAACACCCTGAAATATGATATAAAAAATAAAGGTTTTCTATCCATTAAGGAAGAATAATGCTGAAAGTTTTGAATGGGTATTTTTCTAATAACGTGTATATACGAGAGGAAAGAAATCCCAGTAGCTCATTAAGTCAATGGGCTCAGTTATATTATTCACAGAAATGTAGGTTCGTATACACGAATTTGACTGTAAGTTATACACATAATAACTTTAAAATATCATAGACGTTCACTCGAAGACAAATTATCAGATATATTATTAACCCTTTCACCCCTATGTAACTTGAGCGAACTCTACCATGCATTAATTTGGAAGAGTCCATTATGATATCATGTAGTGAAAGGGTTAAGCATGCCAAGGGCCTCTTTGTTACTATAACGACATTACGCCCTTGGGAAGTCATTGCATGCACATTTCTTCCACGAGTCCCTATCAGATGTCCATAGGATAAAATGATTAATACCATGTTGACGATTTTTATACAGAAAAATCAATCACAAGCCTTGCAGGTCATTGCCATCAATATTAGTATTACCAAGTAATTCGAACCAAGGGGTCAAGTAGTTGTACCCAGCTGACCAATACGATCCCGTTTCCTCCACGAGACCAGGACAATCTCTCAGTATGGAAAGGTCAGTCTTGTTCACCCTGGCAAGCTGACCACCAGCCGCTTTGCACAAGTTGTTGGCTCCATTCCATGATGTCGGAGAGGACAGTAGTCGTAACACACTGTCTGACTGAACAGCTAGTAAGAAAACCGGGACACATACTTGATTTTTGATAAGAGTATCATACATTTAAACATACAGTATTTTTTTCAACAAATCAATTTCAAACACGCAGTCTTGCTCAACAACAGATGCGAACATTTGCAGCATTCAACACACATTGCATGTAAGTAGATTCCATAGTTCTGCTTTTTTAAACATACACTCGATAACGAAATGTCACCTGGTAATATTCAAGGAGGAACAAACAATTTACAAAAACTCATAGGCTACTTTTTCTACTTTATTTCAGTAGCAAAAACACCCACGAAGATATAAAGTATGTACTTCCTTATTCTTTTGTTGTCCCTTCTGTAATAAAATGTCACTTCCTATTGGGTTTTTTCAAGAACAAAATAATTCCAACAAGTCGAAACTATTAGCAAGAGGAATATATATATATGGGATCAGTACTTTTATGCCAAACACCCCAACAACCCTAGACTAGCATGTTTGAATGAATCACTGCGCGAATGAATACATTCCTTATTGTTATGATAGGTTCTCAACCAAAGTGTTACCTTATATTTGTTTTTGTTTTTATTTTTCAAACCTTGAATCCACGAGTGTAAAGTCACCGCAAGTATTGACAGCCTCAGCAGCGTCTTCATCGTGGTCTGTAGAAACTATAAGTTGTACCTGAAACACGATAATGACAGACGAAAATGCAGCTACACATACAATATGGGGAAATTATCAATATCTATTAAGAATCTGTATATATAACATTTTATGGGAGATACAGATAACGATTAGCAGGGTAAGAGTCTCATGGCGACAAACATATGGTTTTATATATGAATGTGTCTATATTCTGTACAAACACAATGTTTTTTAATCGTTCTGCTTCGATGGAGTTGTAAGCCAGCTTGATGTCACCACTAAAAAGAATGGAAAACCGAATAAGTAACTTCCTGGTTGACAGGTTTATTCGTATAAAACTTAAAAATAGACTTTAGAGGTCTTTCAATATACTACAGTTTTAACGACCACTGTTCCATTACACTGTAGTATTTCCTGTAAACAGTAGCCTCATTTTAATGTCCATTTGGATATAACTGTAGCAAAGTTGGCAAGGATAGCATTCGATGATCAGGTAGTTCAGTCTGTTAGAGCGATAGTATAGCAATTTGAGGTCAAGGGTTCGAATCCCGGTCTAGCCCCGCTGAAGTTTTTATCTTAATTATTTTGCATAAAAATCCCTGAAGTATGTTTTTTTCTCAAAATGATTTATCCAAGCTGTAGTCATGCCGAAGAAAAAAGGCTTCCAATTCCTATTTTTAGTTTTGGACAGTGGACGGGGATCCTTTAAATAACAAGATGAGTATTAGTAATATTGGCATGCATACTATCTATAGCTAGAACTAAGACAGACCTAACATGGACAGATAATGATATAGGCTAACAATGTCAATCATTGGTAAACTATCTCCACACTCTCAAGTAGTATTCAGTCATTTATAAAGAAATACATTATTTTAATTTTTACTTGATGTGAAAGGCGTTCACTATTTTCTGCCAATGATTGTGTTATGAAAATGGCACTCCTTTAGAATTTTATGGTACACACATGTTTGTTTTAAACCTTATACTTATCTGATAGTGTTAAAATATATCATTATCCTGATGTGCACCAAAGTATTAAGATGCTTTCCATTTAGTTATGAAACCAACCTTGAAAAAGATGTTTCCCATGAGTTTAACCAAGGATTAAATAATTGAGTAACTTATAAGTTCAGCGTATATATACTACGTTGATTTGAATTGTATACTAATTTCGTCACATACTATTTTTAAATAACAATAGTTAGACAAGTCATTGTATGATATACTTGTTATATAAAGCGATAATATGAGTTTGTTAGTCATCTTCACTGTCAACAGTTGTCCAAGTAGTTAATCTGTTTGTAGCTGGGAGGAGCGAGACGTGTTTACATATTATAATATCACAGGGTTATGAATGATATCAGTCGTGTAGTGTAGTCAAGTTGTGAGAAAAGAAGTTTATGGCGTACTATAGTTCAGTTTACGTGACGCAAATTATACCATATCGTAAACAATTGAATGGAGGGCGATAGTAAAGGGAGTCGGTGATAGACTATTGTAATTGTATACATCAGTGTGCTGTAGAAAGCTGTCGTTGTCAACCCAGGAAAACATTAGATATGTTTTATGTTCAAGGTTGTATTTTTTGTATGGAGAAATCACTCTAAATCTGTGAAATTGTTTACATGTAGTCAATATGTGGAAATGATTTATAGAAATTCAATTTTATTCTGTACATTGTGTTTAAATATATACTGTGAAGGTTCAAGCACCTTTGACCGAAAACCTAGAGTTTCTATAAATCGTAATGTATGATAAAATATTGATATATATGATAAATATAAGTTGCATTTTTTGTAATTTCATTATTTGCTGTTCTAAAATGTTAATTGCTGAACGTGAATAGATCACTATATTCTTTGTTCTTCCAATATATTTAATTTTGAATCCTGTCTTTCATTTGTTGAGATATGTTATACCTCAAATTTGTATTATTAATGTCCCATGCGCTCTATTTAATTTTTGAATTTTTCATCAGACAAACATTCATGTGAAAACTCAAACATCTGAAGTCTGTTGAGCTATATGATCAGAATAACAAATATAGTTACATTACAATCCCGATATTTATTGTTTTCGAATATGCCAGCAAAATTTCGGATTTCATTATTCTTGTGTTAGTTGTGGTCAGTTAAAACCTAAGGACATTGATTTCTGTTAAACAAATAAAACAATTTGATAATATTGCAACAGAATATGTCATTACGCTGGGAGGCTTTGAACAACTGAATCCTATATAATACCTAGCAGTTTACACTAGGGTTTTAGTAACTTGCTTACTTTCAGGTCTTCTTTTAAGGAGAAGTTATGTATAAATATATATTTCTATAATCTAACTACAGATGACAGAAGAGATTGGACACGTGTTCACAAATGTATATAGTAACCAATTGAGTGGAGCCTATTACCAAACCGTGTTAATGCTATACACGTTATTTACGATATTATACCCTTCTTAATAGTGGGTAGAAACGTGAGAAAATATGAACCACAAATGTATAGTTGACGAAACAGAGTTTCTCAGTATACCTAGGAATTCTTCTTATAATTGTTGATCCGATGAAAATATACGCTTAAGGGTCTACTACCCATGACTCAGTCACAATGACTCAAATCCTGAGCTGTATACACGAACAAAACTTGTTGACAAAACACAATTATCATTACAGGGTGGCTTGTATGTTAAAGTCTGGTTCATTGTAATTGGCTCTGTGCTATCACCAACATAGGTGTTATATCTCTGGAATTGTCATCCGATACAATACCATACAATCTATAAAATAAAACGGTTTTAATGGCGGTGTGGGAAACAAGATGTATCTGCAGTAAACAATGTCCAATTCAAACCTATATATCCAATGGTTTTGGGTTAATGTTTAGGCAAATAAACGATACTTTTCGAACACTTTTGTATTCTTGATTTAGAAAAGGTATTGTTCCAGTGATAAACAGATCATGATACACGCAGCATAATGATAATCGCCTCTCGTAAGATGACCATGCTTTCAAAAGCAGTTGAATATATGTTGGCCTCGACGGACATCCATTTTATATACCGGTAGATCTAGAAAAGCAACTTAGTTCAGAATATCCTCTCAGTTGAACAGAATGGAACAATTGTAATCAAGGCATGTCGGTTTAAACCTTAGATAATTGTTTTATACCATTGCACGTATTTGACTTCCTGGTTGAGAACAGATCATGGTTAAGAATCTTAATCTGACTGTTAAAGATATTCCCTCCTCCATAAAATGGCCGTCGGTTTAATTACAAATCATTACAATTCATCGTTATTTGGGAAATAAATTAATTAGTTTTCAAGAGAACTGGAAAATCGAAAAAGACACCTACCTTTCAGGAAATGACGTCCTCGATCAGAGACCGATATACATGACTGATTACTTTCGCACCAGTCACTGTTTCCTGCCCAGATGAAGTTAATACACACAGGTAATGCTCAGGTACGTAGACACACCTGGATGCTGTGTATCGAGGGTACACCTGATGATAGTTAACAGATATACAGGTACACACTTCTTCACTACATCATGCTCAAACCGTACGTCGCTTATTCATGCAATATGCATGTAGCTACTACTGTATAGCAGGAAACTTGATATACCTGTTCGTCGAGAAAATCGACAGACGAAGAATGCAAAGGCTACGTAACACGAACAAAGCAGACCTGTTAGGGAAGGCAGGAAGTGTTTTAGATGGCTTTAAACACACACAGTATATATTAAACGCCTAACAAAACTGAGGACATGTTAAATAGAAGGTCGGGGACATTCGAGTAATGGGAATGAATGTAAGTTTCAACTCACAACGCTGAAAACTGAAACTGAATAATTGACCACTGATTTAAACATACTTATCAATTCCTCTGTCTATACCCTCTATTTATACAGACTTAAGTACTTTTTGTCCAAGGATACTCCAACTAAATTTGGTTTAAATCCTTCCATTCACACGGAAGAAGTGCTTTTAACTATTTCCCTCAAGTTCCTGTATTGGCTCCTGCCTTCGTACAAGGCGAGTTTTAAATGAACCCGCTGATTTTGGTGAAAATATATATATATATATATAAAATCACATTTTCCTTCACTGTTTAATCAATGGAAAACCTTCTCATAGCTTACAACCAAAACAAAGTGGCTAAATGGAAGTATAGCATAACGTTTGTGTTCTTCGAAAAGCTAGAACTAGAGACATACCCATATGCCCCGGAAGGCTGTGGTACAAGTCTCGATGTGTCCTGTCAAAACCAGGAAAATAGGCTGGTCACAAATGATCTAGAACACAGTCAACAAATCTTAATCATGGAAGACACCTTAATGCGAGTTGGAAATCATATCATGATTACGACCGTATGACTGCTGCGTAGAGTGAAACATTCCTGTTGGACAAGCCTGGCTGCTAAGGTTATTGTTCAACTCGACCATGGCAGTAACGTACTCATGGTGACAATATTCGTACAGAAATTACATGAAATAGTTAAATTAATGTCGACTCAACATATTTTCCAGTTTGACTAGTTGAGGGACATCATGTCCCTTTCATAATACAAAGTCATGAGCAACATTTACTAACTTTCAGTTCGTGATATCTACATGGATACCATTTACGTTTCAGGTGGGAACGGTGTAAAATGGGTATTATTATTGTAAGTAGTAGGAAAGTGCCGCTTTTGGGCCAGAGTCATTGAGTGCACTCCCCTATATAATCCTTACCACCTCCCTGGCACCCCCCTAGTGGCGCCCCCCTTCGGCAGGGGGGTACCGATCGATGACGTCACAGGGGGGTTCTCATGTATCTGGGTTTTTCCTGACTGCATCTATTTGTAGCGGTCCGATTGCATCACGTTTGGAAATAGTCAAACCGGTTCCAACCGGTTATGAAAACAACACCGAGAAAGACATACCGTATTCCCCATCCTACTTTCATGAAACATGGAAATTTAAAGTTTTTATTCGTATATAGATATCGAGTACTGTTACACATTGTTTAAACCAGTCACGCAGTCCGCTTTACAACACGGTACGTCGTGTATGTCGATAGATATCCTAGTACATAGACAATATATACACACTGCATTATTCATATAACCTAGCACAACATACGATGTAAACGTAGTGTATACGATTCAAGACGAATGATATCCCAGCATATAATCGAGAAACACCGCAATATCAATAAATACAATCTCTTTATTAAAACAACAAACCTTCAGGTATCATGTCTATTCTGTTTAACACTGATATATCCATGTATCATTTAACCGACATAATGCAAATGGCGAATGTTTATTGTGAGCCATGTAGCGCCACCTAGCTAGACGAGTGTGTATGCTACCAGAAAATGATACACGCGGCAAGTGTATGTAGATTAGTCGTGTGGGTTAGTACGTTTGGCTAGTAATATATAGATCTACTGTAACTAATGGGTGTTCGACGCTCCAAAACGACAAATCTAAAAGTTAAAATTTAGGCATTTTTCAGTGTCTGGTAGAATCGGGAGATATGAAAAACATGTCCGATCACTTGAAAAACAAATTAGAAATAAAGTAAAATTAAGAAAATAAATTTGCAAAAAATGGAAAAGCCAATCAAATGATGCGATTTACCTCGAAGGGTATGGAGGGTATAAATAGAGTTACTACACCGAGAAAAAATCATTCAAAGTCACACACTCGGAGAAGAAGGACCCAATACCTGTGTGTGCTCTTTAATGATCAGCGTTGCAATAACATTGGAAAATGTAAGTATCAACCAATTATTCGCCATTGATGTTGAAATAATGTAGTAATACAAGTTGTAAAGTCTGAGGTGTTTGTCACACATGAATTGGGTGTACTGGATTAGGGCGGTGTCACAAGTCCACAACGGAAAGAGGGTGTTATAAAGTGACATGTCCCCGCGATATCCAGGAACATCTTTCCGGCCAATAATTTATGTGGACCCATCGGGTGATGCTCCGTTTCTGGTGACAGAAGCGTTGATTGTCTTCGTACGAACACCATAGGACCTCGGTCCTTTAATCAGTCTTTTATGAACGATAAAGGAGATGGTGATATATGCCCGTTATGTTCAGGAAAACGACCCAATGAAAAAACACGTCTACATGCTTCAAAATCTATCATATGTCAGACCAAAAAAATACGCCTATATTTTGCAAAAATGAATTTACCAATCAAATGATCGGAATGCAGACAGTGAATAGAAAGGGTATAAATACGGGAGTGAAATCGACAAAATTTAATTCTGACTTAGACATCTAGAGGAGAAGCACGTCGCCAGATATTGTTCTAATTAATGTTAATATCATTATTGCAGAAACAATGGAAAAAAGAAAAGCTCTGATGAATGAATCAACTCAGCCTAAAAAGGGGAAATGGTCTTGTCCACATTGTGACAAATCATTTGAACACAAAAAGACACTTACGAGACACATTGCAGAACACGGAGATAGAAGGTGGAAATGTGACGTGTGTAACAAAGAGTTTGGAAGGAAAGATCGGCTTACAAGGCATAAGAAAGTCCACGGGGAACCACTGCATTTGTGTTGTGGAAAATCTTTCTGGAGGACTGACAAATACAGCGAACATTTGAAATCACACGAGAGAAATCAACAAGGAGGAGGCATAGACGAAAACAGAGACAATGACAAAGAAAACAATCAACCGCAAATGAATGCATCTACCAATCAAGCTTTGAACGAATCGGACCGCCAAACTAGCCCTAACGTGGATGAAGATAAACAATGTACAGAGGAAGCAATCAAGGGAATCTTCAAAGTTATGACTCTACCTGCAGAGGGCCAAGCCAAATTAGACGTCACAACTTTCCTTCATCAACAGTACGATACGATAAAGACGAAAATAGATAGCGCTGTTGTCCGGGGAGGTGTAAAATGGTACTTATCCATTCAAGTGCAGTTTTCTAAACCAAAGGGGGAGACCGTAGAACGAGTCACACCCCATTTCCGTGGAAAATGTCAGATAACTTTAAAGTCATCTGACATCGACGAAAGTATGCGGGAATCTATCCGGAAGATTCAGAATTCTTTCATAGAATACCAGCGACAGAGTAGTAATTGGACATTGGACAAGGTGCTTCTCAAATACAGATACACTTTGCCCGATACAAGCCTCTCAAAGGGTCTAGTTATATTTCGCTACCGGTCAAGTTGAGGTCTAAGCATGCCATCATCAACGTCCAAAACAAGGACAAGAAGTGCTTCATGTGGTCGATACTGTCTGCTCTCCATCCGACCAAAAATCATCCTGAGCGTATCAGCAAATACACAGGTCACCAACACGAGCTGAACTTTGATGGTATTTCCTTCCCTGTGAAAGTAGCCGACATCAATAAGTTCGAAACACAGAACAATATCACTGTCAACGTCTTGGGATACGAGAAGGGGTCCTTATTTCCAATCCACGTGACTAAGCAGAGATTTGACTTACACGTAGATTTACTGCTGATTTCAGATGGACGCAAGTCCCACTACTGCTGGATCAAGAACGTGAATGGGCTCCTATATGATCAGTATACCCACGGGCATAGATACTACCACTGTATGTATTGCCTGCAAGGTTTCACCAAAGAACGAATTCTCAACGACCATATATCCTACTGTCAAGAACATGGGACGCAGAAAGTTAAACTACCAACAGAAGATGACAAATGGCTGTTCTATAAGGACATAAGAAAACAGCTTAAAGTACCTTACATCATATATGCGGACTTCGAGTCTTTCCAAGTGCCAATACAGAGATGTGAGTTTGACCCAGAGAAATCACATACAGAGAAGATCACACAACATGTTCCGTCTAGTTTCGCTTACAAAGTCGTAGGGATCACACAAGAAACATCTAAGGAACCCGTGGTCTACAGAGGACCGGATGTTACAGAAAAGTTTGTAGAATGTATGCTGAGAGAACAGGAGGAAATAGAACAAAGATTCAAAAACGTGAAGCCGATGGTCATGACTGGGAGAGATTGGCAAACCTTCAACAGTGCAGTAAACTGTCACATTTGTGGAAGAGAACTTGGGGATGACAGAGTGAGGGACCACTGCCATGTGACAGGAGCGTTTAGAGGAGCGGCACACAATGATTGCAACATTAATTATAAGTTTACCGGACGGATTCCTGTTGTTTTTCACAATCTGAGAGGTTACGATTCCCATCTTATCATGCAAGCTATAGGAAAGGTGTCAGATAAAGAGATCAAATGCATACCCAACAACATGGAGAAGTACATCTCTTTCTCCATAGGGTGCATGGACTTCATCGATAGCTTCCAGTTTATGGGAACATCACTGGAGAAATTGATCGCAAATTTATCCGCTGAAGGGAAGGAGAAATTTGAACACATGACAGGACATTTTGGTGATGAGAAAATCGAGCTCCTTTTAAAAAAACAGGTGTATCCCTACGACTACTTCGATGGTCCACACAGATTCAAGAAACCAAATTACCATCACAAGAAGCATTTCGCAGTAGTCTAACTGGAGAAGATGTATCCGATGAAAAGTATCATCATGCTTGCAAAGTCTGGAAACAATTCAACATACTAAATCTCGGTGAATATTCCGACCTTTATGTCATGACAGATGTTCTGTGTCTTGCTGATGTGTTCGAGAATTTCCGAAATCTATGTCTGGAATCGTATGGGCTCGATGCAGCTCATTTTTACACCGCCCCTGGACTAGCATGGAAAGCAGCGCTAAAAATGACCGATGTTAGACTCGAACTGCTTACCGACATCGATCAGCACTTATTTATTGAGAAAGGCTTGCGGGGAGGCATATCGATGATTAGTCATAGGTTAGCCGAGGCCAACAATCCATACGTCCCCGGACACGACAAAACAAAACCAACAGAATACATCACTTATTTAGACGCCAATAACTTATATGGNAAAAAGGACACGCTTGATATCACGACAGTTCCCGATGACGCGACAGATGGATATATATTGGAAGTGGATCTAGAGTACCCTCCAGAACTCCACGACCTACACAATGAATATCCCCTGGCACCGGAACGAGTAACCGTGACGAAAGACGAGTTGTCTAACTACAGCAAGACCTTATGGCGGAGGCTGGCAGACTGTGGAAAGCCACACGATGATGAAAAG